AGGAACAGCAGTAGTGTTGATGCACAATCAGAGCAGACTGCGCTTTTTTTTTTTCTTTTCAGAAAGACCTCTTGTCTGCTGAACAATCAGAACAGTACAATCCATTAAACACACTGTACTTCAGTCCCTCACAGGCCCGACAACTGAGATCCCTATATAATACAAACAGATATGTCAGCTGTAGTTCATGCTACTCGTGTAGGGTGCGTAAAGCACAGTGGCGTACAGTGGACCCTTTTCACAAGACTGTGATGACACGTTTAACGGTCATCAGCATCGTAAATCCTCGAAAGTTTTTCATATTTGTATTTTTTTTTTTTTTATGTATCTACATTTATAACACTTTTCTTTGTATTATATCACCTTTTCATCAAATTACAAAAAAACAGTTAACGCTAATGCGAGGGTGTTTCTAATGCAGCGTCTATGGGAGGGATGGTAAATTTATCTACATTTATAACACTTTTCTTTGTATTATATCACCTTTTCATCAAATTACAAAAAAACAGTTAACGCTAATGCGAGGGTGTTTCTAATGCAGCGTCTATGGGAGGGACGGTAAATTTGACATCGTTCTCTCTTCTGACAGCCGTTATCAGTCTCTCTTAATTTTTTTCCTTTTATTGAAAGTCATGAAAACACTATCGTGGAGTTTTTCTTTTGCTATTTGAGCAAATGGGAATGCAAAACATATATTTGTGGTACTCTCCCATTCACTGCTATTCAAGTTAACCCAACTATGACGACTTCCGCTGCTGAGAAACCCGGAAATGTGAAAAGGGTCCAAAGGTAGTTTTCAAGCTGGTGTCCGGGGACCACAAAGGGGCCACAAGGGAGTGCTAGGGGATCCACAGAAAACTTTAGAAAAAAAACAGTGTAAAAAATAAATAAGAAAAATAAATAAGAAAATAGTGTGAAATCAAATTGAGATTAAACTGAATAAAAAAATGTATAGTAGTAGCCTATAATTTAAAAAATAAACATAATTAATAAATTATAAACATTTATTTAATGCATAAATCTGACTGTACAATAGTGATTAGGAAAAAAGTAATAATGTGATGTAATATAAATGAAATATTTTTAAAATAATACTTTACACATATTTATAATATAAATGTTTCACAGTATAAATTAGGACTTTATACATGAAAATATAAAATTGCCTTTTAGGGTGATGGTCCCTCGCACGAGGTTGGTTCACAATGCAGCAGAATACGATTGTCGGTTCTTTATTTGAGTTGTTATAAATAGGTTTCGGTTAATATGGGCACTGAAAAACTAGCTGTCTGTCACGTTATACGCGTGTGTGTTTGTGTCTGTTGGGTATTTTTACGTATGTTTCGGTTTCGTTAACTCACAAAGACGGAGAATTGTGTCATCTGAAAGTCACTTGCTGGGTCCCAATTCGCGTACTTTTTCTGTTTTGTAGTATAAATAGTGCGAGTAGCTGTGACAACTGTTCATGAAACTCAGCAGATTACGCTACTTTACCATTATGGTTAAGCCTACAGGTGATATTCACAGCTCTCGCGAGAACAGAAAAGTGGAAGAATAATAATAATTTTAAAAAAAAGTTAGAATCTGAAGCACTGAATAAAAAAATAGTGACACTGAGTTAATAGTTTTAACAAAAGCAATATTTAAATACTGTAAGCACGTTTTTAAATCAAATAAAAAGGTTGAGTGTTCGAGAAAACTACAAAATCTGAATTTGAATCTGAATCTGAGTTTTGCACCTACCGTATATATATATATATGAATGGGTCATAGAACTACAAAATGAGTTTCAAATTTGCTATTTAATAATAATGTAATGATATTTTAAATTGTTTATGTTGTGTTCTAATTATATATATTTATTTATGTAAACGCTGCGTGACTTTGACGTGTTTTAAAGGGATAGTTCACCCAAAATTGAAAATTACCCCATGATTTACTCACCCTCATCCTAGGTGTATATGACTTTCTTCTTTCAGACGAATCCAATCGGAGTTATAGTAAAACATGTCCTGGCTGTTCCAAGCTTTATAATGGCAGTGAGTGGGTGTTTTTTTTTTTTTTTCAATAGTCCAAAAGAAGTCCAATAAAGCACATCCATCCATCATAAAAACAGTATCCCATATGGCTCCAGGTGGTGAATAATGGCCTCCTGTAACGAATTGATGCATTTTTGTAAGAAAAAAAAATCCATATTTAAAATTGTATAAACGATAATTTCTAGCTTCCGATAACTGTTGTTCAGGCGTTCACAATAGAACGCCTTTCCGGCGGATGACATAGGCGTAGGTTAACCAATGGAAGTAGGCTAATTTACTTAAAAGTAAAATATGCCCTGTAGTGTTAATCGGTGATGTCACTGACAAGGAGCGCTGAATCTAGTTCAAATGTGTTTTGATCTTTCATGGTAAACAAATATTGATAAAATTGTTCTGTAATTTCAGGGATCTGCTGACAGAGATGTAGGAAACATAGGTAAGTTGAGAAAAGCCATTAAATCACTTTATATGCATTTTCACAACATATTTGCCTATATCACATGCATCTGTTGCTTTCTTTTGAAAAAAAATACACCTTTTTAAATTATAGTTATTTTAAGAAGGTTTTGACATGCAAACATGAGTGAGTGATTTTAAAAAATATATTGCTGTGATCAAAGCTGAATTTTTATTCAAATGTCTGGAGTCTGTTTAACGAATCCTGATGAAAAATATGTATCACATTTAGCATCTGTTGTTGTCTTTTTACATTGATAATAAACAGAAATGTTTCTTGGGCAGCAAATCAGCATATAATTATTTCTGAAGGATCATGTGACTGAAGACTGGAGTAGGTCTAATGATGCTGAAAATTCAGCTTTGACTGTATTTACTGTATTTTGTTTTTGTATTTTACTGTAATAAGCCATGGTAAGCATAAGAGACTTCTTTCAAAGATGTAAAAAAAAAAATCTTATTGCCCCCAAACTTTTGAATGGTAGAGTAAATTATAGTTACGATGGCCTATGTTTCTTCCATTTAAATGATTAAAGGCACAATATGTAATTTTCGCCACTAGAGGGCGCGTATTCAAAATAAACAAAGAGACAAAGGCGTAGTTAAATCCAGGGGTTATGACATCATTGGCAGGTGACACAATGACACTATAGACACGGTCCGTGTCACTAGTTAAAATTGCTTATTTCTCTGGATTTAAACATTCTTCGAAACATTTGGGATAATGTAAGTACACAAGTCAGCAAAATATATAACACTGTTCTAGTGGTTTTTGGACCATACATTATTGTGCCTTTAAATGAAACATTTGATTCAGATTGGGACTTCAGAGCGGGTTCGCGTATCATTTGATTCGGATTGGGACTTCGGAGCGGGTTCAATAATCATTTGATTCAGATCGGGACTTCAGAGCGAATTCGCGAATCATTTGATTCAGATCGGGACTTCGGAGCGGGTTCACAAATCATTTGATTTCGATCAGGACTTCGGAGTAGGTATCTTTTTTGGAGCGCGGATCGCTAATCTTTTTTCCTGATTTCTTTTTTTATTAAACCGTTCAAAACATAATTGAGGCAATACAGTTATTAAAACAAAACAAAAGAAAAAGAAAAAAGAAAAATGAAAAAGAAAGCACAAAAACAAATACCGTAGAAAATTTACCATGGTTTTATTATAGTAAAAGTGTAGTAACCATTTTTTTTTTGTATAACCAGTTTTACTACAAATACCATAGTGTAGCAAAACCATGGTTAATTTGTGGTTACTATGGTTTAACTATAGTAACCATGATTTTATTTTTATTTTTTACCTTAAGAGGACAGAGATGCAGTTTTCACTGCTTAAGGATTAACAGAACTTTGGATAGTTTCAATATACTTGTTTAGATCAACTTTGAATAAAGAAAAGAGAGGTTTAGAGCCAGATTATTGTTTATGTTTGTGAAATTTAGCTAGTAGGAAACAAATTAAATGTTATATTTTCCTATATTTTCTTTTGAGTAGTCAAAAAATTCAAAGAAAACCTCTTTAAAATGGAAAGAAAAGTCACTTACAAAATGAGATTGGGAACATTAAAAAAAATCTGACCAAAGTTTCTCTGTGTGGGTACACTGACAAACAATTGAGTGATATCTTCACCAGAAGAGACAAAACAGCAACTCACTTCAATGTCTGACTTATATGATATGATATCTCAATCTATAATAATATAATTATGTCCATGAGCTTTTTGTGAAATTTGGAGTAACTCATTAATCTGTTTGACCTCTTCATATTTAAGGGGAGAACTATAGTTTCCAAAGTCAGACATTGCTTCTTATGATTTTCAAGGGTGTAGAATTTAGAGACGCTATGACATGTACCAATATCCAGCGACTACCAAATTGTCCCTAGGAATGATTTTGATCAAACAATTACATTTCTGTTGTCTGCCGTTATGTCAACCAATGCCAAAATAAAACCTACACACTTGTGGTCCATTGATCAGAAACATTTTTTCTGAACAGCTGCAGCAGTACTCTGAAAAGACTTTATATATTATTTTTCAACTTTGCAAAAGTGTATCGTGTTGCTGCTAGATGCTTACTTTGCTGTATGCTTTTTACGTTGTTGATAGGTGGCTAAAAAATGTACTCTTCACCTAATGTATAAACATAATAAAGCATGAAAGTTCAAGGAGTTTGTTTGGTTGTATGTAGTGTTCTTGTTTTCATAAAGCTTCAGTTTCTGGTCTATTGTGTACAGGACACAAGAGGGCAGCAGCAGTCCATCATGAGAGCATGGAGATGATTCCTCTGCAGCCCTCTGAGAAGGATGAATGAAACCTGCCATCTGTTGCAAAAAGGACGTTATGCATGTATGTACAAGATTACGATTTCAAGAATGCATGAATACTGTAATATACTGAATTCTGTAAGATCATTTTCTAATGTATTTTATGAACTTTTAGCCCAGTACTTAAATTTCAAAAATGTCAAAACCTGAAAAATGTTCCCAAATAAATTAATACAGATATAACTTGGTCAGTCGTGGACTGAAGATGTTTATTTGGTGTACATTGAAAACTGAAAATTGGCAAACAAAACCTGATGACCTAGAACAAAGTTTAATATCTTGACTCCAGGCAATCTGGCTGCTCTAATTTCAGTTTTCTAAAAAAGGGAAATCTTTCTCTGCAGACGCAAACACGTTGCTAACAAATGAAGACCTGAAACAACATTCTGTAGTGTAGGAAAAACAATTCCAAAAGTGTTTCAAATATGTTAAGAAAGAAAACAAAACTACATATTGTAAATAGTCGGGCAGTAAAAAGTACATACTCAGGATTTTGTGTTAAAATAAGAATATCTGACAAAATATATTTAGTTTACAAAACTTTGATACGTGAGACTACACTTAAAGCATCTGTTAAATGGTGTTTATATATTATCATACATGTCCATATTGCACGAGAATCGTCGGAAAACTTGGTCCTCCCTCTTGGCACAGACAGAGAGGTTGTAAGTAAATCTGTCTCAACAGGGAGTAGAAGCAAAAGATTGAATAGAAATCATACAAGCATCTTAGAGTACATGTAAGACTGAATAACACATAATACTTGGTTTTGATCTCTCTCTCCTCCGTTTTGTTCTGTCTCCAGCACTGTGTCATTTCACTGGTCCCTTGACTCATACAACAGTTTGGCAGCCTAGAGACAAACGGAATAGAAAACATAATATTATATAATACAGTTCAGAAACTCCCTTGTTTACAACTAGGGCTGGGTGATTATCAGGGAAGAAATTGTGCTGATTAACATTACGACTGCTACGATACCATTATTATCAGGTTTCACTGCGGATTTGAAATATATTAAAAATACGTTTGACAAACAGTTTTGGATTTAAATTGAACATACTTAAAGCTGACTTGCCTTAAAGCTATTTATTTAATTAGAGACCTATTTATTTAATTACAGGTAACATTTAGGATATATTCACATTGATTTTGCTAGAAATATAAAATTAAACTTGATTACATAATAAATGTTATTACTGCAATTATATCAAAAGCATCTCCGATTTAGATTTCAGTTAAAAACTAAGAGTGGGTAAGTTTGAAATTATTATTCCTCAGTGGAAAAACCCACCACTCATTTCAGAATAAATACATAAATCCCTTTTTAATCCGTGTATCATTCGATAATTCGTTTTTTTTTATTTAATATTGAAAGTAGAAAAATGACAAAACGGCTCCTTTTTCCGTTTTTTTTCCAAAGATTGAAAAAAGAGAATTCATCTTAAATTTTCGTTTTTCGCTCAGGTGTAGAAAAATGAATAAACAGCTTGAATATTTGATTTCTACACGTGGGCGGGAATTAAACGCCCCTTTCTGCTGATTGGTGGGTCCTTTGAAGGATGCGGCCGACACGGCCTTCGAAGGACGCTCCGAGTCTAGCCTTTGCAGAATTTCCTGATTGCGCCAGCAGGTGTTCCCGATTAATGCTCCTGTCGCGTGGCAACGGTGCGAGAAGAGAGCTGCCATATATGTTATTTGTTAATGAAAACGAAAATAACTGGAGCCTGAATTGTTAGTTCTTGACTTTTAATGGCCGAATTACACTTTAAATGTAAGACTTACTTTAATATTGTAATGACGTGAAAAAATACAAAATATAAAGCGATTAAATGTCGACTTATATCTTACCAAAATGTGATTTTATGTTGTTTATTCTATTATTGATTATTATGTACATAAATGGTCCATGGTGAACATATTTAAACAGGTTTTCAACCCTGTTTAGTTTTATGTAAGTCAACTATTATAAAAAGTTGACTTACAAACGTTACTGCTGCTCGTCTACTGCAGCTGACAAAGTTGCTAGGCAACAAGAAGAGTCCTCCGTAGGCTAGACCAGAGTGTAACGAAATACATTTCATAAGTATTCACATAGAAATGAGAAGTACTGAGTTTTTTTTTTCTCACAGGACAGCTACAATACAAAAACATGGTCCTTTACAATATCATGCACTGTTGTACATTAAACTACCCAACAGTACATGAAGTATAGGCAACTTTAAATTTAATAATTTAATATCTGTTGTTCTCCGGTTGTCAGTGAAAATGACAGTTCTTGCGTGAACATTATAGGCCTATATATACCCAGGCCAATTTATTATTCCTTCCTTTTTGTCTTAGTGTTTAAAATATTTATTTTGAAACGAAAAATTTAAGCTGAATTCTCGTTTTTCGGTTTTTGGAAAAAAATTAAAAAACGAAAAAGGAGCCGTTTTCTCATTTTTCTACTTTCAATATTAAATAAAAAAAACGAATGATCGAATGATACACGGATTCTTTTTATACCTATTTGACCCTCTATATAATATTTATAACAAATAAATAAATAAAAAAAAAGTGTTTCTTTTTTTTTTTTACAGTGCACTCTTTCACTCACACCTACTTTGTGCATGGCTGCGAGCCAGGCAGATGCAACGCGCTTGTCATCGGCAGTGTCCATGTGGAGCTGCTGAAGGTTCTGAGATCCTGGTGGCTTGTACTGAAGCACCATGCCACTGGCTCGAAGAGAACATCCTGAAAACAGGTCAAAGGTCAGTGGTGGGTTTGCACACAAAGATTTGGGTTTATCAGATGTCATTCACATAATACGACAGTAACATGGTGCTGAAGTGCAACTGTAATATCTCCAGCAAACATAAATGATGGGGAAACCATGAATAACTTGATGTCTTTAACACCAGAAGTCTGAGGGATCATCACAATAAACATGCACATGCAGCCGTTCATTAGACTGCCTTTGACACTATTACTTACAGCCATGTCACAGGAAATGAGTGCATGCGTGGTTACTTACACCATATGAAGGAAACAACAAGGAAAACAAACGAAATATTTTAGATGAGGAAGAAGAAGAAATAAAAGAGAGATAGAGGGATGCTGACCTTCAGATATTTGACTGTCCAGCAAGCTCGTGTACGAGCATACATCTTTCTCTTAATGCAGAAGAGAACAAGGAAATTAAAGAAAAGGCCGTTAAAAAGGAAAGAAACAAACAAAAAAAGTCTGTTGAAGTGTATGTATTCATCATAAGAAGATGTATATAAATTGAAGGGAACAACAAGGAAAACAAACTAAATGGCACATATTTTAGACGAGGAAGAAGAAGAAATAAGAGAGAGATAGAGGGATGCTGACCTTCAGATATTTGACAGTCCAGCAAGCTCATGTACGAGCATATATCTTTCTCTTCATGCAGAAGAGAACAAGGAAGTTAAAGAAAAGAGAATGTTAAAAGGAAAGAAATATAAACAAACAGAAAAATCACCGGATCCACAAAACACATCCTGGGAAGAGCCACTTTCTGACTGCAGCATTTATCACAGAAACACCGACCGCAGCGCCGACAGTGATGCTGATGTACACATAAGAAACACTTAGTGCTTTAAATCCATCACAATTCCATCAAACACACAACAGCAACAAAATAATAAAACATAGCATGACCAAATTAAAGGGATAATCCTTCCAAAAATGGAAATTCTGTCATCATTTACTCACCCTCGTGTTGTTCCAAATGTGTGTGAGTTTCTTTCTTCTGTTGAGCACAACGGTAACAGCTGCTAGTATCTATTGACTTCTATAGTATGAAAAAAAAATACTATGGAAGTCAATGGCTACCGTCAACTGTTTGGTTACCAACATTCTTCAAAATATCTTCTTTTGTGCTTGCTTAACAGAAGAAAGAAACTCATACATGATTGGAAAACCATGAGGGTGAGTAAATGATGACAGAATTTTCATTTTTGGGTGAACTACGCCTTTACCAGTTATAAATAAGTGATACGACCAAAATCTAAATAACAAGATGAGCAATTTCATATCATGGTAACAGTACTGTATGTATATTACAATATAGTTATTAGTTTTCATTTTTGAGGAGGTCACACTTCATTTCGATAATCCACTTTAGACCTTCTACTAACTATAAGTAACTTTGCAACTACATGTCAACTAACTCTCTTTAGAGTATTTGTAGAGCTTAGGGCTGGTAGAATAAGTTGACATGTACTTGCAAAGTTACTTATAGTCAGTATAATGTGTGTTGGGGAACTATCAAAATAAAGTGTTAGCAGATATTAAGAAGACAGTCTACTAATATTCTAATGATTGACATGTAGTTGTAAAGTTACTTATGTCTAAAGTGTTATCTTTGAGGAAAGGGGAGTTTACAATTTGATGGATGTGAACTAATACATATATACAGTGGTGTGAAAAAGTGTTGGCCCCCTTCCTGATTTCTTATTTTTTTGCATGTTTGTCACACTTTAATGTTTCAGATCAAACAAATTTAAATATTAGTAAAGGATAACACAAGTGAACACAACATGCAGTTTTTAAATGAAGGTTTTTATTATTAAGGGAAAACAAAATCCAAAACTACATGGCCCTGTGTGAAAAAGTGTTTGCCCCCTAAACATAATAACTGGTTGGGCCACCCTTAGCAGCAACAACTGCAATCAAGCGTTTACGATAACTTGCAATGAGTCTGTTACAGCGCTGTGGAGGAATTTTGGTCCACTCATCTATCCTGACTGAAATTCTTCATAGAGATAATTTTTTTGCAGGAAGGAGCACAATTGAGCAGACAACTTTTTTTTTTTTTTTTTTTTTAGACATAATTGTATATAATTTTAAGCCCTAACACACAACATTATCATGTGACCACAAAGACAGATATTCAGACACACAACAGAGGCAGGAAGAAGAGGGAAGAAAAAAAGGAAACGGGAAGGAAAACTTGCAACGGCATATTATTGCAAAACTAAAAACAAAGACACATAAAAAGAAAGAAATTAAACTGCTAAAGCTTAAGGAAGTCACTCATTATGAGCCATTCACACATACACACAGATTTGAAGCAACAAAGCAGGGAGTCAATTGATTACTTTTTCAGCAGTTATTGTAGGGATGTGACAAAACTGAAGAGTGATGAAATGTGGCAATTACCAAAAATGAGGGACACCCACATAACAGTACATAAGTATATATTATCTATCTATCCAGATAGATAGATTTTTTTCAATTCAAATTGTCAAATGACAAATGCTATTTTTCAATCAGATTTTCAGATTTTTTTCAGATTTTCAAAAGTTACAGACAAAGACCATCAATAAAACTAGGACATCCAGATGTAGGAAAGGCCACTTATGAGCAACAATACAGCCACTTGTCGACTTCAAATTAAATGGTGACTTGTCACTTGAAATTACTCCTGACACATGATGGGTCCATGCGCTTACCTTCCTGGTGATGAAGTCAAACTTAGTGTCACACTGCATACATCTGGGGCACTAAGAGAGATAAGAGTGAAAAATAACCTTAATTCTTTAAATGCTCTTTATAACACAAATATAAGAAAGATCAAACGCATTCAGAACTCTATATGTTGCACAAGTCAATAGCATTTCATAAGAAAGTTGTGGCAAAACATCCTAGAGACTTTAGCTGAATTTAGGCCACATATATGGGATTAACAGCAATACAATCATGGCCAAAACCTTTAAGGCAAAATACACAGGGCTTTTTGGTAATGTTATCTGACAGTGGCCACAGCAAACCAGAACTGTTCGAGTAGAATAAAACGATTCAGGTCTGATCGCAATTTGAAGTCTAGGCATGTAATACATATTCTTGCCAACAAAGCCCTACATATCATGAGCTTTATGACTGATTAACATGCTTACATAACATAGTACAGCTTTTTGCTCCTCCCACACAGATCAAAATCAAATCGTTTTGACTCATTTCATAGTTTACAGTAGTGCACTTACAATAGAAATCTGTGAGGCAAGGTACTGCACCAGAATAAACATTATAATACACACTGCAATGCTACAAGACTTAAATATTATATGACACTAGTGTGGTAAATTGCTTGCTAAACTCATGTTACGTTATATCCAATCTTTCAACTTCTATCAAGACCAAGTAAAGCATGGTAAAACTTGGTATGTGTCAGATAAATGAGTGCAACACTGCCCGTCCACCTTTTAAGCGGCCTTGGTTCCGTGAGTATTTTCCCCATTGAGATTTTTAAAAAGTCTTTACTTAATCTTTGTTTAATCAGACCACTACAAACTTTGATTTGAAGAAAAAAAAAGTGAGAAAATTGTACCGTGTCTGGTAGCCACTGACTTCCATAGTATCCATGGCTATCAGCAACACTGTCTGGTTACCAACATTCTTCAAAATCTCTTCTTTTGTGTTCAACAGGAGAAAGAAACTCATACAGGTTTGGAACGACATGAGGGCTAGTAAATGACAAAATATTCATTTTTCGGCGAACTATGAAAGATTTATGCATTTGTTCGTCAGCGGTTTCTGCTTACCTCCGAATATTATTCATAAGTGGGCGTGGCCTAATATTTGACAGACGCTTTTTCGCCATACAGAAGCATTGGACAAAATTTTTTTTTTCCTCATGACAAACGCCTCAAATATCAATCTTTTACCCATATGAAGAGGTCACATTGTTGTTGCCCACAGTAGCAGATGTTCGCTCATATAACCTACACACTCTAAAAAACATTCATTTACATGCATCTGAGATCAAATCTGTTCTAAAGATCCAAGTCTTGCTATCTTTTTTCTTTGTGACACCATCTGAGAAACTTACAAAATATTTTCCACTGGTTTTTCGGCGAACTATGAAAGATTTATGCATTTGTTCGTCAGCGGTTTCTGCTTACCTCCGAATATTATTCATAAGTGGGCGTGGCCTAATATTTGACAGACGCTTTTTCGCCATACAGAAGCATTGGACAAAGTTTTTTTTTTTCCTCATGACAAACGCCTCAAATATCAATCTTTTACCCATATGAAGAGGTCACATTGTTGTTGCCCACAGTAGCAGATGTTCGCTCATATAACCTACACACTCTAAAAAACATTCATTTACATGCATCTGAGATCAAATCTGTTCTAAAGATCCAAGTCTTGCTATCTTTTTTCTTTGTGACACCATCTGAGAAACTTACAAAATATTTTCCACTGGCTCTTGTTGCCTTGAACAAACAACGCCCAAAGATAGAGACAGACCAACCACAGCATCATCATCATCATCACCATAATCTGTGATCAATATTCATTACCTCTTTGTCCGGAACCCACTGCGGCTCATCCAGGGAAAACGGACTGGTGAAAGCACCGTTCTCCGGTACCATGCGGAGTCCGCTCGGGCTCCGGACCAGCTTTTTGCCGTCAGGAACCGCGGACATGTTTGTGTTTATGAGTGCGCAGCTGCTGCTCCAGAGAAGAACAGTACAGACATCAGCAGCACTACCAGTCACACAAACACACCTTCAGCATAAGAGTCCTTCATCACACTATAATAATAATAATACCTTCAATTTCTCATTTCTAAACAACTATATCCTTATTTATCAGTGTGTTGTAGTGTGCAACTACAGTGGCCCGACAAAGTAGGCCTATTTAAATGCCAAAATACATTAGATTCAAGCCAAGTGAAACACTAAAATAAACCAATACTTAAAACAAATTAGTAATAATAATAATAATAAGGACAACAATGTACACAGTTTTAAAAGATGTGTGACATTTTAAAACAATTGTGCAATGCCCCGTCTTTCATTATAGGTCCTGTTCATTTTTATTTACAATCTTTTTTCTTCTTCTCAGTTTTTGAACAATTCCTAAAGTTTTTATAACGTCCAATAAAAGACAATATCAGTACAACATGTAATTAAATATCGGCTGATCTTTTTTTTCAATATTTCAGTTTGCCGGGGTCTGATGTGCTTCGGCAGAAGTGATCAGTGATCTCAGTGTTTGTTTGAGTGCCACCGTGGCCTTAAAAATACAAACCCGCATTATTCTTTTCGTGTAGCAGTACGTGTTTTTCTTAACCTGCATTACAGTATGTGTTCTAATGTAAATACACACTAGCACGCTATCAGTACACATGTATTCAAGTGTGTTTTAGTGTAAGCGTTCAATCTGGATCACCGCAGAAGGAGCAGAGGGAAGAGAGAGGAGATCTCCAGAGCAAAACTCCTCCTGTCCAAAAACAACATGTTCTCCAAATTCACCTCCATCCTACAGCACGCTGTCGAGGCGGTGAGAGCTTTCAAAACTACATCTGACCATATTTAAATGACTGTTTGGCTAGGAAAATAATGAAGTGAGAGTCGATTAGTGTTGATGTGTTGAAGGCCTGTTAGCCAAACACATAAGCTAACAGCTTATGTAATAAATAACAGATGACAGACAAAACCTCAAACTGTTTTAACTGTCTCCTCACGTGTGCTTAAGGGTGTGTGTCCGCTCGATTGTCGTTTATTGTGTTTTTATGATTCATCGGGACATATTAAGCCTTTGTTTGCTGTGTATTTATTTTAGCAAATTTATTATATAATTTAAAAAACAACAACAACAACAAAAAACCTTGCTACTTGTGCTGCGTTAAGCTAACTGATACTTGTTATAGCACTTGCATATCATTGCCTCCATCCTACAGCACGCTGTCGAGGCGGTGAGAGCTTTCAAAACTACATCTGACCATATTTAAATGACTGTTTGGCTAGGAAAATAATGAAGTGAGAGTCGATTAGTGTTGATGTGTTGAAGGCCTGTTAGCCAAACACATAAGCTAACAGCTTATGTAATAAATAACAGATGACAGACAAAACCTCAAACTGTTTTAACTGTCTCCTCACGTGTGCTTAAGGGTGTGTGTCCGCTCGATTGTCGTTTATTGTGTTTTTATGATTCATCGGGACATATTAAGCCTTTGTTTGCTGTGTATTTATTTTAGCAGCTGTGCTAAATCTTGCGCAATTCTCGGCTGGTTTTGGCTAACGTTCTTCATGTACGCGAACCTTTTGGGGTTCTAATCAATTTAAAGTGATATTTATAACATTTTATAAGATACATTGGCTATATAATGTGAAATGTACATTAAATTAATCAGCGTTAGCCAGTTAGCATGCTAGCAGCTCATTTGCAGGATGTAAAGAAAACGGCTGTTACTATGACTCGCTTACGATTGGATACGATTGTCTTTACATGGTAACATCTCAGTGCACATATTCGCATACGTTTATATTCATATTCCTTGGCAAAGTACAAACACTGTATTGTTTTATGAACATACTAAGTGTCCCCATACAGCGCTTAGACACTTAGTTGTATAAATGTCATTACATTAGAGGATAAACATCAACGCAGTTGTCATTTATGTTAAAGATAGATTGCACGAGTACTATTTTTGAGCAAACTGTTTCTCAAAAATAAGTTTATTATTTTCTAAGCAAATTATATGCTGTTCAAAATTAAGATAAAAAGTATTGACACTTTGTGGTGTGAAATGTTCATAGGACACCTTTGTGAAATTGAGGCAAAATTACTAAATACATCTACTAAAATCACCAAAACGCAGTTAAAATTAACTGACAGAAAGTTCTATAAAATTTGTTTGCAGAGGACACTTGATTTTTATTTTTTTATAAATATAATGCGAAGTCTTTCAGACATTTTAAGGAGAATTGTTTTAGGAGCCATTGTAGTATATTGTAATGGTGTGGTTGTGTTACACACATACATGCATTGTTGCTGTAAAATACATATATCATATAGTAGGCATTTTGATTTTATGATTTTGTTATTCAGCTTGCGCCGTCACTGCCATTGCAAGAGGACTTTGTCTATCATTGGAAGGCCATTACACATTATTACATAGAAACCTCAGGTAAGAGATGCCGTGATAGTCAGTCTTGCTTATTGTGCTTTTTTACCAAAGAACCATATGTAATCATCTGTTTACGTTTTTGTAGACGACAAAGCCCCAGTGACCGACACCAACATTCCCTCCCACCTGGAGCAGATGCTGGATATTCTGACCCAGGAGGAGAGGGAGAGAGAGTCAGGAGAGACGGGACCCTGTATGGAGTATCTTCTCCACCACAAGATCCTGGAGACGCTCTATACCCTGGGCAAAGCAGATGTGAGTGTTTTACTTAGAATGAGTGCTGGTTTCTATCAGTTGTTGACGTGTAAATATGAGAAACGTCATCTGATTGTTTTTTAGTTTAGTAGGCTCTGATCCAAAACCTTCTTATACAGCATCTTAACTGATATGAAACCTCATAAATTATAAATTCAGAGCTCTCGCACACTCAACAGTTTGTTTCAGTAGAGTTTTCCATTAGCATAATCATGCCTAACTTTTGGAACAGCCTTTGTGTCACTTATGTTCCAGCTCACTAAGCTTTGGAAGAGAGCAGAGAGACTCTTCTAAATTGTGTGTCCAGTAGAGACTTACTCATTTACTGTGAGTCATGTTTAGTAAGAGAGACTGTCAGTTGCTTTGACTCATTAGGAAAATAACTGCTGGCTGTGAACAGAATGCACAGCGTCCCAATCCCATTTAACGAACCTTCACACTGGATTATATTGCTATAAACTATGAAGAGTATTTATATTGAAAGAGAAAGTGAATCATTCTTTATGAATAACTGTAATATTGTAGCTCATCATTTATTTTAGTAATCTAAACTGGAATCAATGCAGTCCTGTGGAATGGGTTGAGTTGACTGTTGATTAGCCCTTTTGTTTTAACCTAAAATAACACCTGTAATATAGTTCAACAAGTATTTTGGTTCAAATTGTTATAACATGTATAATTCTATCTCTAAATGCTGATTTGGTGAGCTGTGTTCAAAGCATTTGTAAAATGTTGATAAATGCACACATCTGTGACCATACTTTCCATATTAATGCTAGAAGAGATATCATGTTGTTTGGTTGCCGTTAACCATTCAGTGGCCCCAAAGGGCTTTCTATACATTTCTTTCCGTATTGGTACTTTATTATTTAAATAATATATAGGGCTGCACGATAAATCGCATGCGATATTTAACGCGCATCTTATCAGTAAAGCCGGTTCTGTAATCAGTGGTAAATCTCCATCACCTGCGGGCTTTCACATTGAGCAGCATTAACTACACAGAGCCGTTGTTCACTGACGAGCTGCGCAAAACCACGTTCATATTCGCGCGATTTTTTGCGCAGCTCGTTAGTGAACAACGGCTCTGTGTAGTTAATGCTGCTCAATGTGAAAGCCCGCAGGTGATGGAGATTTACCACTGATTACAGAACCAGCTTTACTGATAAGATGCGTGTTAAATATCGCATGCGATTTATCGTGCAGCCCTAATAATATATCATTATTTTAATTTGTTTTATAGCAGTATAAAGTTTTGCTCACATTTGCAATAAAAAATTATATGAAAAGTCTAATTTTAAGCCATTTGCATGTGCGATAATTTTAATTTATACCTTTTGCAAAATCTGCAAACGCCACCTACTGACAGTATTAATGTGCAATATATTAATTTATTAATGTGCAATATATTAATTTATCTTATGCTTTGACACACTACCTTTCAAAGGGGTAGTGTGGGGTCAGTAATGTTTTTTAAAGAAATTAATACTTTTATCGACAAGGATACATTCAGCTGATCAAAAGTGACAGTAAAGACATTTTATAAGATTTCTGCTGTTCTTTTGAACTTTCTATTCATCAAAAAAATGAAATCATGGTTTACACAAAAAAATATAAAACTGCTTTCAACATTGATAATAATCAGAAATGTTTCTTGAGCAAATCAGCATATTAGAATGATTTCTGAAGGGTCATGTGACACTGAAGACTGGAGTAATGATGCTGAAAATTCCGTTTTACCATCACAGGAATAAGTAACATTTTAAAATAAATTCAAATAGAAAGCAATTGTAATAATATTTCACAATATTACTGTTTTTATTGTATTTTGATTGAATAAATGCAGCTTTGGTGATCAAACGAGACTTATTTCAAGGACATAAATCTTACCGACTCCAAACTTTGGAATGGTAGTGTAAACCAAATGATTATTGTCTTAATACCTGTGAATCTTTGATCTTTGTAGCTAAAGCTCAAAGTACCAGTAAAACTTTTATTTGTCTTTTTTCTCCTGTGTGCTCCTCCTTAGTGCCCTCCTGGAATGAAACAGCAGGTTTTGAGTTTCTACACCAAGCTGTTAGGTCGAATTCGCCAACCACTCCTGCCTCACATCAACGTGCACAGACCTGTACAGGTGATCAGAATTACAGTTTTAAACTCTCTTTGCACTTTAAAGGTAAAAAAACCCAGTCTCAAATACTTAAGCAACCATGCATGATGTATCTGATGGTGTTTCCACAGAAACTGATCCGCCTGTGCGGCGAGGTTCTGGCTGCTCCTACAGAGAATGAAGAGATCCAGTTTCTGTGTACTGTCTGTG